GCCCAGGGACCCATCAGGCAGCTGCCTTCTGAACTGTTTCAAGGCCCTGGGGAGAGGTCCAATACATGCCATTTTGGGGGGAATCCAGGATGAGGGAAGGAGCTCCTCGATGCAAGGAGGAGAGTCCAGGAGCCTCCAGGAACCAACCCAGCTGGAGACATAAGCCCCTGCTGAGATGCCTCATCTTCTCCGGGAATCCAGGCTTCTTCTTCTGCCTTTGTTCTTTTTTTAATTCACCCCCCAGCCCAAAACCGAAGATTTCTTACCTCTCCACATAAAAAAATTATTTGGGGTAGAGTGGGACAGCAATGCAAACGGGGGCCTATTACTGTTTCAGGAAAAGGAGATAAACGCCGAAACCACTTCTCCCCGGCCAGCAGGTTTAAGCTGCTCATCCTTGGAAGATGGAGGAAAAGGACGTTAAATGTCAGTTTTTCATAGGGATTTCCCAGGGAACTCTGTCCCTTGGGAATGGCGGTGCCCAGCATGTGTTTTGGGGATTCCCTCTAACATGCCACCCAATAAACGGTGGTTGGGGTTTGGCCATCAAACTTCTCTTTTCCTTTTCCAGCTTCCTGGGTCCTTTCAGGGCGCAGTGGTGCATTTCCAGGTAGGAGTGCAGGCCATCCTGGATCGAGGCCGGAGGGCTCTGCAGAAGGAGGTCCCCCTGGAGAATCTCAGGAAAAAGCTCTCTCCGGGTAAGGATCCCTTTGCCTTCTTCAGAGGGATCCCCAAAGCAGGGATCCCTCTTCTTTGTATTTCTCACTGCACTGAATTACTGTCCAGGGTTGGTGGTGGGGCTGGATCCTGTACTTTGGACAAGCTTTCTCGGCCAGCCTTGAGCAGGGCTGGTGCCACTTCTTCATGTGACATGGTGTTTATTTATTTTAAATATTTTTATCACACCATTTGCCTAAAGAAGGACCCAGGGCAGCTTATATCATTAAAAAGACAGTATTTAAAGCTAACAACAATGAGTAAACAAATTTTAAAAAAAGATCAAACAGAGGTAAAACAAGACGGTAAAACAGTGTGTTTCCAGAACCCCTCTCAGGCAGCCGATCACTCCGGGAAAGCTTACCTCAAGAGAGAGAGAGAGAGAGAGAGGACTTTGTCTGCTTGCAGAAGGACAGCAAAGACGGGGCCAGTGGAGCTGCTGTAACAGAGGGGATTAAACCCTCATGAGCCTCGTGTGTGAGATCAATGGGTCGAAAGAGGGGAGAAGTTCCATGTTTTGATGTAAAACTCTTAAACAGAGTTGTTTACATCTGTGTGAGGGTTCGGTGTGTCCCGGAGCTATTCCTGGCTCCTTGGCAAAAAAGACATCCGTCAAGGATTGCTCTTTTAACAATGGAACATTTATCGTGTCATGAACAAATAAACTAGTGCCCTTAACTAGTTCTGAGTCTTTGTCTCCTTCTGTCAAAGGGACATTCAGGGGTTTTCAATCTTCAACAGGAGTCTTTGTCTCCTTCTGTCAAAGGGACAGTCAGGGGTTTTCAGTCTTCAACAATGAAGGGGTTACCATAACTAGAGTTCCACAGACCTGGTTATTCGGGGAAGGCCACTCTTTTAACATGGGGGTTGATGGACCCGGCAACAGGGGCACAGCCTCTTCTCAGAGCAGGTCGTCCCACTGGGTATTCCCCAGCGGATCCAATGTTTCCCAGACCCTCTCAACTCCTCCGTCTTCCTCTCCAGAGCTCTCCATTCACTTCTCTTTCACCTCTCCTCCTCAACCCTTTCTCTCTTCTCTCTAATCTTCCTCCTCCACACTTTCGCCTAAAGGTCAAATGGGAATAGCGGACCTCCTCCGGTAGGCAGCCTCCTCCCTCAGTACCCTGATCCCGTCCTATTAATCAGATCCCTGGCCCATATCCACTCCCAACCCAGCAGTAAAGGCTCATCCCTTCTTTTAACTACCACTTGCCCCACCTCCCTCTGCCTTCCCCCTTCTTACTTCCCGCTTCTTTTGTCCCTTTCTCACTTATCCCCATCTCCTTCATACACTTGATCAACGTCTCCAGCTCTTTTCCCTTAGGGTGTTTATTCTGCACCAGGGGTCTCAAACATGCGGCCCGGGGGCCATTTGCGGCCCTCCAGATGATAGTTTGTGGCCCTCACCTTGCCTGCCCCCCCGAAGCGCCCACACATCCTCTCCTGTCAACAATTTTTAAAAAGCCTTGCCTCGCTCGCCGGCTCTCTCCCAAGACAGCACCTCTTGCACCCTCCATCCAGAACTGCAGCCTGCCAGCCAGCCCACCTGTCTGTCGGCTAAGGAAAATCTGATGCGGCCCAGCCTCACCCAGCCTCTGTCTCTAGTGGCCCCCAGGTAAACTGAGTTTAAAACCCCTGTTCTGCACCCTCTTCTGGACAATCTATGATTCGCTTTTCTCCTCAGGCCTATTTTCCGGGTTGAGGATGGATGGCACTCTGGCGAATAATGCCTCCAACTCACCTCCTGTCTCGTATACTCCACCATCCAAGACAGCTGTCCATTCCTCAATGCTCTTCACCCAAGGTCCCTGCCTGGAGAAATAGTCTACATTAACATGTTCCCTGCCCTTTCGGTATAGGACCTTGAAGGAGTAAGGTTGGAGAGCCAAGTACCATCAAGTTAACCTCTGATTAGTGTCCTTCATTTGGATCAGCCATTGGAGGGGAGTGTGATCATGACCAAAGTAAAAGGAGCCCCCAACAAATAACCTGTTTCTCTGAAGATAAGACATGGTCTTATAGTAATATTTGCTCCAAAAAACGCATTAGGGCTTATTTTCAGGGGACGTTTATTTATGTCATGTACAACCATCTACGTTTATTCAAATGCAGTCATGTCATCTTCTGGGTGCAGCACAAGGGTGGAGGGCGGGGCTTCAGTTAACTAGGCCTTATTTTTGGAGTAGGACTTATATTACGAGCATCCTGAAAAGTCATACTAGGGCTTATTTTCAGGTTAGGGCTTATTTCAGGGGAAACAGGGCAATACCTCAAAGCATGAGTAGCCCACATAATCACCAAGGCTTCTTTCTCAACTGTGATGCCTCTGACTAGCCTCCCATCTCACAGTCCGAAATATCTAATGACCATAAACCACTTACCTAGCTGGTTTACTGTGAGAGTGATTAACTAGGTATGCAGATAGCATTTAGAGTGGTATAGAAGCCTTTGAGAATTCCTTTGTCATGTCAGTAAGGTAAAAAATTAGAAAACTGATAGCATATGTAACATTAGCAGCTGGGGAGAAGAAGAATAAACCAGATAAAAGAGTACAGTACCACACCCATATCCATGTGATCAAGTATCCGCTGATTCACTTACCACAAGCTTCTACTGTCCTGGAGTACCATGAAGTCTTTCAGGGAATTAAGATTCAGTCCAAGAATCAAAAAGTTTAGCTTGGGAAGTGTATCCTATTCTAAAGGAAACACAAAGTTGAGCCGAGGGTACAAAGAAGGAAGGACCCTTGGAGATTATGAAACCGGGTATAATCGCCGATGTCTTCCATTTCTGTTCTGAACTAGGAATAAGATTTCTTTCTTCCTTTTGTCTCAGGTAAAGAACAGAACGGTAAGAACAGTCAGGAAACAACTGAGTCGGAAACAGGAAAAACGACGTTTGAAAATCAAAGGAGACAAAAAAAAGGCACCGGAGAAATCCCTGAATCCAAATGACCCACAGAGAGGAGAGACCATATAAATGTATGGAATGTGGAAAGAGTTTCAGTCGAAGTGGACATTTAAATTCACACCAGAGGATCCACACCGGCGAGAAACCATATAAGTGCACGGAATGTGGCAAGAGCTTCAGTTACAGTGGATCGTATATTATACATCAAAGGACCCACAAAGGCGAAAAACCCTATAAATGCATGGAATGTGGAAAGAGCTTCACTGATAGTTCATCTTATGCTAGACATCAAAGAATCCACACAGGGGAAAAACCATATACATGTCCAGAATGTGGGAAGACCTTCAGTCAGAGTGGAATATATACTAAACATCGAAGGACCCACACAGGTGAGAAACCCTATAAATGCATGGAATGTGGAAAGAGCTTCAGTCAGAGCAGTGCCCTTAGTTCGCATCAGATGACCCACACAGGGGAGAAACCCTATACGTGCGTCGAATGTGGGAAGAGCTTCAGTCGCAGCCATGTCCTTAAATCACATGAAAGAACCCACACGGGGGAGAAACCATACAGATGTGTGGAATGTGGAAAGAGCTTTAGCCAGAGTGCACATCTTTGTTCTCATCAAAAAATGCACATAGGTGAGAAACCATACTCGTGTAAAGAATGTGGCTTAACTCTGAGTTGGACTGGAGACCTATGTTCACATCAAATGACCCACACAGGGCAGAAGCCATATACGTGCATTGACTGTGGGAAGAGTTTCAGTCAAAGCAGTAGCCTTCGTTCACATCAACGGACTCACACAAGTGAGAAACCCTATATATGTATGGAATGTGGAAAGAGCTTCAGGGACCGTGGATCATATACTAAACATCAAAGAACCCACTCAGGGGAGAAGCCCTATAAATGTTTGGAATGTGGGAAGAGTTTCAATCAGAGTGGGCACTTATATTTACATGAAAGGATCCATAGAGGTGAGAAACCCTATAAATGCATGGAATGTGGGAAGAGCTTCAATTACAGTAGATCACTTATTATACATCAAAGAAGTCACACAGGAGAGAAACCCTATATGTGCATTGAATGTGGAAAAAGCTTCAGTCAGAGTGGACACTTACATAAACATCAAAGGATCCACACAGGTGAAAAACCCTATCAGTGCCTGGAATGTGGGAAGAGCTTCAGTGACAGTTCATCTTATGCTAGACATCAAAGAATCCACACAGGGGAGAAACCATACACGTGTCTGGAATGTGGGAAGAGCTTCAGTCTGAGTGCATACCTACTTTCACACGAAAGGTCCCACAGAGGAGAGAAAGCCTATAGATGCATGGAATGTGGCAAGAGCTTCTGTCGGAGAAGTGATCTGTGTTCACACCTAATGACCCACACAGGTTAGAAACCCTATCAACGCATGGAATGTGGGAGGAGCTTCATTCATAGCAGAAAGTGGGGTTCATATCAAAGAACCCTTAGAGAAGAGAAGTAGAAATGCATGGAACGTGGAAGAACCTTTAGCTAGAAACATAACTTTCTCTCGTATGAAGCAACCCACAGAGAATGGAAACGACACTATGGCTGGACTTCAGCTCTTCTCTACATCATATGATATGTCGGCTTAACTGTGTTGGGCTTTCTCTTCAGGCAATGCAGATGGCATGATGTGCACTTGGTCACACGGATCCAATATAACATCAAGAATTGTGTGCCCAATGGTATGATGTAGAATCACCTTTCATGACAGCAAGTTGCCTATTAAATGTCTTTAAAAAATGACACCAGGGAGAATCTTGCAAAATAGAACTCCCACAAATGCTCTTTCAATGTTTTCATATTCATAGTCAGGGTGGCTGAAGCTTACATGGTGAAGTCTTCCCTCTAACAGGGCCTGCTCCCACAGGTGAGACTCCGTTTTTCTGCACCCACCCTGTGCTTTTAGCGTCCTTCCTAGAAGATGGTGGTGTGGGTCGTTTAGAATAAATCTACTGCTGATGGTCACAACCCGGGTGGGACCCAAGGAAAAACAGAAGGAAAAAGAGAAGATAGGGTGGATGTGCAGTTGTCTGAAGCTGAGTTCTGTGAGTTATAATCCTTTCATCCCATGAAAGAGAAGGCAGAATTAAATAAACCAAATAGAACAAAGTGAGCATGACTGGTTTTCATTTTTGGAATTGCATTTTGTTTTTTGAAACTGGGCTTCATTATTTGGCCTTTTATATTGTTACAATGCACCTGGCTTTTCCTGAATCCTGCATTCTGGGTGAATTTTTCTTTCTTTCTTATTCCCTCATGTGAGGAGCCTGGCAGCACAATAATTTCACCCCATGAGGGGCAACATCCAGAACATTGGAATCAGGAACCCTTGGAGCTCAGAAGCCATGAACTCCTCCAACACCTTGCCCAAGAAGGGAATATTAGAAACAGGTCCATGAAACTGCAGAAACAATCCGGAGATGCAAAGAATGGAAGTGACTTACGGAAGCAGCTACGGTGGAAAGGGGCAGGGAGGAAGAAAATGGTTGGAAGGGAAAAACTTTGCTTGAATCCTGAAGAAGACAATTGGGGAAAGAACTTTTGGCCCGAATCAAGTTTATGAGGTTTGTGGCATTCCAATTATGAAATAAGCAACATGCTTATTTGTTTATATCCATGTGCAGTAAGGCAGGTCATGAGAGTGGGGAGGCTCCCTTCCTGCCAAGCATTGCTTTTGGCCTCCCTGGTGTAACCCACGTGGAGCAGCCCAGTTGTAGGAGCCAGAGGCTAGGTCACTTCACTACTTTTGGTAGGGGGAAAGGAGGTTGGGAAGGAAAGCAGGGATGGGTGGTAGGTAGAAGGGGAGGGAAAGGGAGGGAATGGGGCAAAATTGGGAGAAAAAACTGTTTTTTAAGTTTACAATGTGAGTACTTCATGTTCTCTTAATATTTTTCACAGGAATAAGGTTAATACTATAGATCAGTGGTCAGGGAACAGGGGTAAATTACCCCAAATGGGGTAAAAATGAAAATCCTGGGGGTAATGAGGACGGTTGTGACAGCGTGACCGTCCTCATTACCTCCAGGCATTTTATTTCCGATGATACTGTGTGTAGGCGGGCATTCCATCGTGGGGGGAGCGGGTCTCAGCGAGGAACTGCACAGGGCACCCGCCTGCCCTCCTCGCCTCCAAAGTGGGGGGGGGGGGACCGGGCCAGCTGGACTCTTTGCCTAGTGGAGCCCTGGCTGGGGCTCTCCTTGCCTGCACCTCCTGGTGGAGCCCTGGCTGGGGCTCTCCTTGTCCACCTACGGCCAGAGCTGCACCCGCTGCGCTGGCGAGGAGGCATCCTTCCCCCCCTGCCTCACCTGAGCTCATGGCTGGTGGACCTGCCAGCCCTGCAGTGTCCAGCTCCCCTCACCAAGGATGTGATTTCCTGGTGGTGTGGCAGCTCCGGACTGGCTGCTCAGGTGGCGGCCGCAGCTCCTGGGCAAGCGCAGAGGCGGGGAAGGGGGTCGGCCGCAGACAGCGAGAGCAGAGGTGTGTTGCTGGGACAGGGCGGGGTAATGTTGCCGTATATAATTTTTTTTTGGGGGGGTAAAAGATAAAAAAGTTCCCTGACCCCTGCTATAGATAGTATGTTTAGAGCAAAATATTACGTGGTTCAATATAAAGCAGGATCCTCATATCAGTGGAATTGGTATCCACTGTTTCACTTATCTGCTGCCTGAAATTAATTAAAAATATTAAACGAAAAATCCCTGAAATACCCATTTCTATGATGCAATTATTGGAACTGGCCACTAGAGGGAATTCTGAAGCACTTTAGAAAGATTGTTGATATAAAATATGTTTTAGAGAGTCATAGTCAAGAGACCACTGAGGCCATCCAGTCCAATCCCCCACCATGCGGGAACATCCATCAAAGTACTCCCTGCAGATGGCCATCCAGCCTCCGCTTAAAGACATCCAAAAAAGAAGACTCCACCATCCTTCGAGGCAGCCTATTCCACTGATGGACAGCTCTGACCGTCAGAAAGTTCTTCCTAATCTTCAGATGGAATTTCTTTTTGTCGTGCCTAAGATGGCTTACGACATTTAAAAAATGGTATTTAAGGCTAAGAACTATGAGTATACAAATACATAAAAGGATTAAAGGAATACAAGGGTAAAAAAAATATAAACAACACCAAAACACATTCCAATCAGGAAGGTACAACATTTTGAATTCTGCCTGGAAGTAGATCAGCAGCCAGTGAAGGTGGTGTCGGGTGTTGCTCCAGGGCCCACAGGCAAAGCCTCCCAATCCAAACCTGCTGAGGAGACCACAGGGCTGGCAAGAGGCCTGCGCCATCGCCCCAGCTGCCTGTTTGCCTGCTCGCCCGCCTTCCTTCATCTACCAACTGACCGGCTGATCCAGCAGCCCTCACACTTACAATAAGAAGTTCATGGTGGCGGCAGAGAAGGAGGTGGCATGGACCCAACAGCAGTGGTCTCAGCTCAGCCCCGATGGAGGAAGAGGAGAGGCAGCGCAAGAGAGGATCGCCGTCCTCTGTGGGAAATTCAGATGGTGGAGGGCAGCAAGGAGGACCGAGGGGGAAAAGGGATCAAAGTGATCCCCCCAGCTGCATTGCCTTTGCTGCGCATGCGTGAAGGGGTGAGTGAGCACTCACACTGGCCCTGGCACGCGCATGCATGTATGTGCAAAGCAGCTGTGGGCAGGGGAGTGGGGGGGCGGGAGGTCTGTCTCCACAGCCTGGTCTGGCTCAAGCCAGGGGCAGGCACTGGGTCTGGGACCAGAGGTTAATGACCAAGGGTCTAGAACAGGCTTGTCCACCTGCGGCCAGAGGGCCGCATGCGGCCCAGGTCGTCTCATAACCCTGGCACGCGCATGCATGTATGTGCAAAGCAGCTGTGGGCAGGGGAGTGGGGGGGCGGGAGGTCTGTCTCCACAGCCTGGTCTGGCTCAAGCCAGGGGCAGGCACTGGGTCTGGGACCAGAGGTTAATGACCAAGGGTCTAGAACAGGCTTGTCCACCTGCGGCCAGAGGGCCGCATGCGGCCCAGGTCGTCTCATAATGCGGCCAAGTG